TGCTGCCAAACACCTTGGCTATGTCTGGACTGGCCACAAATTCCGGAAAAGGGATGCAAATCAGGTAAGTCAGCATAGGGAAATCCGCGGGGGATTTAAATATGCGACAGACACTTGAAAGTAGGAATAAGAGATCCTCCGGAAAAGGGCTTTATTCCGGAGGATCGCGCCAGTCTAGACGCTTTTTTTCCGGCTTTTCCCCAAGCCGGAAAAAAAGCGGCGGACATGTTTATTTAAATCCGCGGGGGATTTAAATATCCCCTGCGGATTTCCCTATGCTGACTTACCTGATTTGCATCCCTTTTCCGGAATTTGTGGCCAGTCTAGACGTAGCCCTTATGTTTCAAGATTCTAGGTACAATCTGAGTATTAGTTCTATCAAAATCAAGGAAGAAAATATGTCTTGATTGGCACAGCAATCAGATATATATCAAGAATCACATATCTCAAGAGGTTTAATCTTGGCTGGATAGTTTGATTCTGATACTTTGGACAACATTTTAACATGTCAGATGATTACAGTCACTTGAAAACAATGTTTAAATTACAGCTTTCACCATATGAACCACTGAAGTCAATGGGATGACTTACTGATAGTTCTAAGTGCTTGTAGGACCATGTCTGTAGATCTGAAAGTTACGCTGAAGACTGTGACTGAGATATAGCTGAAGGGATGCAACTTCAATAAAACATTTAACAATTACACAGCTACCTTTCTTACCAACAACTTTCAATACGAAAACTGAAATAATTGTATAAACTTAAGATAGTTGTATATCGTTTACGTTTCATTCAGGAGGTGAAAACAATTTAATTATTTTCTTACATATACAACAGAGAAGAGGGAATCAGATGTACTCAAATGAAATAGTGAAACTGGGGCAATGGTAGTACTGGGTTTCAAAAAGCATGTGTTATATCCTGAGTAACACGTGAAACAATGTATTACAATAATTATTTGCTTTTGCCCAGTTGATTTCACTTAGTTCAGCTTTCCCAAAAACATTATTTCAGGGATACATATTACATACGCCTAGTTTTCTGGTATTTTATATTCTAACTAATTCTGTCACAGAGCTATTTTGATTACTTCATACTCTGATCCTGCAAAGACAGACATGGGTAGATCCTCAGACAGTGTAAACCTATGACAATCTACCACAGTGGAAGATTTGCTCCAGGATCACCTTTAAGCACTTGAGTAATCCCACTGCCTTCAATGAAAATGAGCATTTCAGACACACACACACAGATGCTGAACCACCAGACTTGCATCTGGGTAAACTATACAACCACCTCATCCTATACCTGTTACTCATGTCCTTCCTCGTCCCTCCACAACCCTCCCTCTCCCCCACGCTGAGATACACTCAAACCCCTGTCACGTTTGTCACATAAGCCATATGCCTGCAGAGAAATCCTTCAGTATGCTCCCTTCTGCCAGCACACAGACCCACTAGAACAGGCATGAACGTCTGCACTGATAGATCCCTGTTACAGGACTAGGGTTATCAAACCAGCACTTCCATGCAGTCTCACTGACGTTGGTGAGCACAGGGCTCTGCCTCCACAGAGCTTATTGCAGGACTCAGGTGACAGACTAAAAGATCTACAGAACAAGACCAGTCCCCTTTAAGTATTTTCTATGAAGTGCCTAGCCAACATCTGGGAACCATCAAAATACACACACACATACATACATACCCAGTGTCTTGTGTTTGGAAATATGTTCAATCACCCATCTAGGCAACCGTTTTGCCTGATCATAAGAGAGTGCATGATTTGTGTAACATCTGGTCTCTGTTCCAGCTACAGGGAAACCATACTGTTCCAGCAGAGACTCTTCCACTGGCTCTAAGGGGAAAAACAAACAAAATGTGACCCTCAGAAAAAATTGGGATTAGAAACAGAAGAGGAAGGGGAACGTCTCTTATGTGTCTTCACAGAGTATTGAACAACGGGACTATTTGAGTTTAACTGAAAATGTATCTGAGATTTAAAAAGGAACGTAGACAAATAACTCCTGTCCACCAGAGAAACATCCATGCTTGATGCCAAGTGTACATTAATAATAATTATATGAATAATAATTAATTGCATTAATAATTAATATTTAATAAATAACTAATAATAGTGATTCCCTGGTCACAATTACAGTTGACGACCTGTCAGCCAACTCTTAGTCCACTGAACTCAAACTCAGGATAGACTTTGTGTTGATTTTTGTATTCTTGTTTCACACCAAATGTCAGTGTAAATGTCAGTGCCGTCCCCTTCATCACACAGCCTTATGGCTCAGTCTGTCAGAAGGGGAGACCAGAGGCCTGAGGAGCAGCGAAGGCCAACGCTCAGGGAGTGGGAGCTGGGATAGGAACTTCCTAACTGTCAGGGTGGTTAAACACTGGAATAAATTGCCTAAGGAGATTGTGGAATCTCCATCACTGGAGATATTTAAGAGCAGGTTGGCTAGACATCTATCAGGGATGGCCTAGACAGTACTGGGTCCTGCCGTGAGGGCAGGGGATTGAACTCGATGACCTCTCGAGGTCCCTTCCAGTTCTAGTGTTCTATGATTCTATGATTCACAGATCAAACCAGCAATGATAAGCCCCCACATTCTCACCTCCCAAGGAAGCCTGTGGGCCGTACAGGTATTTATCGCACCACAGAATGCACTCAATCTCTCCTAGCAGCAGGCTTTTGCTTCTTCCCAGTTCGACAAAATGCTTAAACATGGACTTTGCCAGCGCAACCCACGCAGACACTCATACCTCTATGGTTCACCAGGGCCTGAGTAACAACGGAGTAGAACCCTTTGCAGTATATGTGCTCATATGTCACTGAGCAAATATACATTCATGGACAGGCTGAAAGAGTTCTCCCACCAAATGACATTGTCACACACAGTGTTATTCTCCCCATGGTTATTCTGGAGGCCCCTGCATGTTCCCTTTCATGCCTTGGCTTATGAAACTATAACTAGATTGCAGAAGTCCTGGCAAAAGAAGGATTAATTACACTTGCAAAGGGCGGAGAATGATTGGTTTTGGCCAACTGACATCTCATTGGAAATATCTACAGACCTGTTTGGATGCCAGAATCATCATACCATCTGCACCACTGGGGCTTGCTGTGCTCATCACAATCTTTGCAAAACCAGAAGTGAGCCATTTCCCTATGATAGCGAGGGGCTACTGACTTGTACCTTCAGCCAGGAAGGAGACTTACTGCAGCTGGAGCTGGATGCACCCAGGCCACAGGGCTACTGACTTGTACCTTCAGCCAGGAAGAAGACTTACTGCTGCTGGAGCTGGATGGACCCAGGCCACGGAAGTCAGGGGATGTTTTGTGCTCCCACCTTGTGGGCATTCTCGGGCCAATGGAAGAGGGAGCATAATACCTTTATGTCAAGTATCAGAGGGGTAGCCATGTTAGTCAATTCAAATGTCACCCAACTGATTTAGCAGAGTGCTCAGCTAGTTATTTTGTTTCTACTGGTGGCACACAGTTGCACATGCTTTGGTGCACATAACAATTTATTCTGCACATGGATGGAAAAAGATTAGAGGGAACATTATTCCCTGTCTGTAGGAACAGTGGCACAGCTGCAGCTTGCGGACACTGTTTCATGAACAAGTCACCCTATTGAGCGCAGGCAGTCTCTCTCTCATGAGTCCTAGCCTTCATTTAAATATTTTTATTTCAAACTGTAGAGAACATAACAATTGTTAAATCTTTCGGAAATCTGACATCTCAACAAATCCTGCTAATATATAAGGGGAGTGGGTTGGTGCATTACTGACATACACACAACCAATTCAATGGGAAAGGGGAAAAAGAACAAAAGAAACCTTTAAGAAGAAAATGCCTGAAAGTCAAAAATATTTATGTACTGGCACACCTACAGTAACTTATCTCCCACCACCAGACACTTATTTTTGTACTAAAAATAACACAAATACCCGTAAGCAACAATCAAGCGAAAAAGATGTCATTACAAGCAATTAACTACTTGTGCACAAAAGCCATAGGAAACCACTTCCTTACCACGTTTACTGATTAATTTTCACTGGAAGCAGCAACAAGGAAGGTGGATGTTATTTTTAATTCAATTCACATTCAATGGTCTCAGGATAAACCTCTGCTCTATGTTGGTGTGTGTACACACACACACACACACAAAATATGACAAAAATACTGTCATTACAGCAATGGGGGGCAATCTATTTATTGGAGAAGGAATAATAGGACAGTGGGGGAGGTTTCCTGAGGATAAGAAATTGTAGGGAGGAGTGAGCGACCTGGCTGATCACCCAGGTGCCATAGTCAGGGCACTGTGGTGTCTATGGGGCCTCCCTGACGCCTGGTGTGGCATCCAGAAGCGAGTCACTGCAGAGCAGGGTCAGCCCTATAGGTGGGTGATGTGGTGGGGGGAGCTATGGGCAAGAAGCAGGGCAGACACAGTGTATGAAGCTTACGTCAATGGGAGAAGATTGTAGGAGTGGGGAGCCCAGGGAGACAATGAGAGCCTAGGGTGTGAAAATGCAAGTTCACACAGGGTGGTATGTCCCCTGAGGCCAGCTTTGGCTACTGGGGCTGGTCATGGGGCAATGTGGGTAGCTCTGTTAGGGGATGGGGCTTTGGTGCTGACTCCTTGGGAAATATGGGGAGGTCTGTTGGGGGACAAGTAGTGAAGAAGACATTGGGGTTAAGGGATTCATCTGGTTCCTGGAGCGATGTGGAGAGATCCCTGGGGGCTGGGCAGTGAAGAGGGTTACTGGGATTAAGGATGTTAACTAGTGGTTAATTGACTAGTCAATAGACACTTCCACATTCCTCCTTTGAAATGTGGGCAAGAGCCCCAGCTGACTGCAGGTTTCCCAAGGCATTTCCCCAGAACCCAGGGTCAGCTGGGCGGAGCTGCGCCCCTGCCACTTTCAAGTGTTTGTCAGAGGCTGGAGAAGGATGGCAGGAGACAAATCACTTGATCATTGTCTTCAGTCCACCCTCACTGGGGCACCTGGTGTTGGACACTGGGCTAGATGGACCTTTGGTCTGACCCAGTACGGCCATTCTTATGTTCTTATGTAAGTACCCCTTCTTCCCACCCCCTTTGCTGGGGGGGGGAGGGGAAATCGACTAGTCGACTATCCAAACAACATTTGCTTATTGGATAGTCAATTAGTCGACTAGTTTTTAACATCCCTAATTGGGATAGGGAGTACTGGAGTATGAGTGATCACATGGCTCCTGGGGCGATGTGGGGAGGTCAGTAGGGGCTACACAGGACACAGAGGGCTGTGGGGCAAAGGGGATGGTGATGGCGACTGGGAGAAGAGCTGTCAGGTGGCTAGCTCCTGCGCTCATGATGGAAGATCCACAGGAGCTGGGCAGGAACGAACAAGGAGGGCTGATGTAGGAACGGCACTAAGAGATGGGGCTAGCTCCTGGGGCAATGCAGGGAAGCCTCGGGGAGCTGGACAGGGAGGAGGATTACTGAGATATGGGGCATTGGAAGACAGGGACTGGAGCTGCCTCCTTAGGACAGGTGTGGAAACCCATGGGGCTGGACCCTGGCTCCTGGGGAGCCCTATGGGGGCTGGGCAGGACCCAGAGAGCTGGTGAGGCATCTAGGGATGACTCTTGATTAGAGGGTCAGCAGGTAGCAGATGGAGCTGGGCACTAGGGGTAACCAGGGAACGGGGGAAGGGAGAAGGATGGTGGAGACCAAGGGAGGCAGGCAGCTGGGGCAGGGCTTGGGGGATGTCAGCAGGTAGCAGATGGAGCTGGGCACTAGGGGTAACCAGGGAACGGGGGAAGGGAGAAGGATGGTGGAGACCAAGGGAGGCAGGCAGCTGGGGCAGGGCTTGGGG